AAAAAAAAAAAAAAAAAAGGAAACTTGCTTCATCAGAAGCATGGTTCTCTGTGATGCTGCCATCATCCAGAGCATATGCAGAACTAATGTGATTGTCAGCCAAGAGAGTTGAGATTCCTCCTATAATCAGCCCCAATCCCTGCTTTCTTCATGTCCCTCTCAGCCTGAAATAGTTGGATAAATGATTTCCTTTAGTGACAAACATCCTAGCAACTGTGAAATATCCAAATTCATATGCCTCTTTTTTTTCCCTGCAGGAATTTAGATAATGGGCTGTGTGCAATGTAAGGATAAAGAAGCAACAAAACTGACAGAGGAGAGGGATGGCAGCCTGAACCAGAGCTCCGGGTACCGCTATGGCACAGACCCCACTCCTCAGCCCTACCCCAGCTTCGGTGTGACCTCCATCCCAAACTACAACAACTTCCATGCAGCCGGGGGCCAAGGACTCACTGTCTTTGGGGGTGTGAACTCTTCCTCTCACACTGGGACCTTGCGTACAAGAGGAGGAACAGGTGAGCCCCACTCACTGTCAGTCAGGAGAGGCGAGGGTAGGGAGCTCTTAATTCTTTCAGCAATTGAACATTTATGTTCTGCTCAGCTCCCTTTGACTGGAGCATCAACATTGAAATTTCCAGTTAATTTCTACCTATCCTCTACCAGATCAAGAGCCATTAAAACCTGATGTACAGATCTGAATGCCTAACTCCTACTCCGGGGTGGAGGTCTGCATGGTTAGCGAGCTATGTATGACATTTACCAGGCCAGGGGCGCTCAACTTTGGCTGTCTAGCCCAGAGTAGCTAAGGTAACTCTTTTGAAACTCAGAAGCCAGAAACCCATCCCAGACTTTTTGAATCAGAAGCTCCAGGACTAGACCTAGAATTCTCTAAAGATCATGGCACTCCCCAACTACTTCTACCTCTTCTACGGTTTTATCTTCTCTTTCATTGTCCTCAGCCTGCCTACGCTTCCTGGCTGGTGGTTCATTTGGCAAAATTATGTTTTGACCACTCATCATCAATTCTCTCTCTGAGTTTTCCATTACCTTCCACATGACTAAAATTTTCAGCCCTCAGGTTGTTCCATTTTCTTTTTTTTAAACTCTGTTTATTGTGTGTGTTTCAAAATTGAGTCTATGTGTCCATAAGAGACCATATTCAGTCTCATATTCTCTCTGTTTCTCTCCCCCCCCATCCCCCTTTCCCTGTTTTCCATACTACCAGTCCTATCTTACTGCCATGTGTATTTGCTGACTTAGCTAATACTTAGTAAAATATCTGGCATATGTTCTCAGGCATATGTTTTCTGATATATTTTTGTAAGTTATCTCACGCATCCTTAGGCTTCCAACTCCTTCCCCAGTATGTGAACCATGGTAACTAGATAATTTGAAATTATTTTTTCCAAAATTGCTTTATTACAAAACTTTCAAAGAATGTAGCATCTCTCAGCTGGGAGCAGATGTCTAATGTCTTACATCAAATGTCATTGTGCTGCTTTACCCAGAGAGTTAACATTAGCAGGGCTTTTTCCTCTCTAACTGATATATATGTGTGTGTATGTATAGCAGTGTTCAGAATCCTTGGAGATTGTCTCCTTCCCTTTGATTAGTATATCACACTCTGCCCAGTGAAGAGAAAACAGCAATGCTTACTCTGTATTGTGGTCACTTTAGCTTTCCCCTTAATCCAGGCCTTGTATGATACACTTATTCAGGTCTCCTACCTTCCTGGATGGTACCTGGAAATGAAGAATGAAAGAAAGATGAATGCAGGCAGTCTAAGTCTTGCTCTTGAGGATACAGAAGAAAAGCCAGAAGTATACTGAGTGTGCATATGCACATACACACATACACACACACACATATACACAAAGGCATACACATAGAAATGTGAATGTGTGCACATCTCCATTTTAAGAAGCATGCGTGCTTTGCAGCCCTGACTCTTTAATTCTGCTGCACAGGCACCATTCTTGTTCATTCATTCATGAAGCTGGATATGAATCCCTGAGTCTGCCGGTATCATTCATTAACATCACTGGAGTGAGCTACTTGCCTTAAGCATGTGGGTGTGTGTGTACTTCAGTCAGGGACAACTTTAGTTGAAGAGGCCATGCAATCCCTTATGAAATTTGAAAGCTAAAAGACAGTACCTCCAGATGTTGTCAGATTTTAATTGTGTTCATGTGTCCTTTCTTACAACATTGCTCTCAGTCCTTTACAGCTAGGTCCCTTATGTTTGCATTTCTTTGCAACCTTTGATTTTCTCCTCAGTCCCTAGAACATAAAAACCTTCTGTGAGAACTTATCAGCTGATGCAGAGAGAGTAGGCGAGTCGGTCTTCACATGCCTTGACTTCCACAAGGTTGACTTGGCTTGCTGCTGTAAATTAGGTTAGAAGGGAATCTGCTGATGGATTATTTATAAGAATCAGTGCTGGCATAGATGTATTCATATTATCTGTTTTAAGCTAACCTTTCAACAAAATCTTTAAGTGTTAGCTGTACTACAACAAGTCCCAATTGGGATAGGGATAGAACATAGTCCCTGCCCCTTTGTGGACACATCTGCTCCCTACCTGCATGGCACGGCAGCTTTGTAAAGCGTAGACTGCTCACTGATTTGCCACATCAGGTTCTTCGAAGTACATTGAGATCAAAATAAGAAGCCAGGTTTCCAAGACATGAAACATTTTCATTCTCAATTCCTGTCTAACAGACTACAATAAAACTTAACAGCTATAAAAACAAAGATGAATTATATTCAGCTACTTAAAGATAATAAAGCCGGGCATCAGTGGCTCACACCTGTAATCCTAGCTACTCAGGAGGCTGAGATCTGAGGATCACAGTTCAAAGCCAGCCCGGGCAGGAAAGTCCCTGAGACTTTTACCTCCAATTAACCACTAGAAAACCGGAAGTGGCTCTGTGGCTCAAGTGGTAGGGTGCTCACCTTGAGCTGAGGAGCTCAGGGACAGTGCCCAGCCCCAGAGTTCAAGCTCCTCGACTGACAAAAATAATAATAATAATAAAGAAGGATGAAAAATGACACCCCCCCAAAAAAACCCCAAACATGTATTTTATTATCTCATATTTCTTGCCTGTGTTTCCTGAAAAAAACAAAATGCTTAAATAAGGATACAGGTTGATCCATTGTAACAATGCGATGTACAAAACAAAACACTATGATGAAAATGAACTTTACAAGTTTGGCCGGGGGGAGGGGGTGGTAATAGTTGTGGTGGTAGGAAGGAAGGGATGGTGGTAGGGGAAAAACAAAGGAGGAATCAACAATGCTCAATAGGAAATATACTCATTACCTTGTTCATGTAACTGTAACTCCTCTGTACAACATTTTTACAATAAAAAACGTACAAAACAAAAGAATCCAGGAATAGCTTAGTTGAATATTGTCTCAGGATCCCTCACAGGCTACAGCCAAGGTTGTTGACCAGGATATAGTTATCTCGCATTTCAACAGGGAATGAAGCTCAGGTGGTGGTATTGGCAGGATTCAGTTCCTCACTGGTTGTGGATCAGTTCATTGTCATGTGTGTCTTGCCAACATGGCATCTTGCTTCACCAGCTTGTCCAAGCTGCCATGGCAGCTGCTAGGAAGACAGAAACCACCATCCTATAAAACCTATTCACCTAAGAAATATCTGTCAGCTTTGTGCATTTTGTTAGTTAGAAGCAAGTCCATTAAGTTCAGCCTAGATTCGAGGGAAGGGGATTGCAAAAGGGCATGAATACCAGAGACAAGAGTCATTGAGAGCGTTCTTGGAATTCTGCCTGTGATAAAGAGCAAGTCTTGGGATAAATGGGACTCCGGACATTTTGTTGTTGTTAGCAAACTTCTGCAACATGAGAATGACTTCTTTGAGGAACCAGATGAGCAGACATAGGATGAATGTGAAGATGGGTGAACATTGCAAAACAGTTAGTTGAAGGAAGAGGAGAACAGAGAGAGAGCAAAAAGTATTATTAGAAAGGAGATCAAGCAGCTGCAAACTGCAACACCAAAAACCTGGCATCTTCCAGTTGAGCATCACGGAGTCTCCTCTAATTTTCCCCAAGCCACAGAAGACATTTCCTGTTACATTCTATATCACCGTTACACCAGGGAAAAGAGTGGTCCATTTTACCCAGAACTGAATGTGAGCTCTCAAAGGGAAGAGAATGTGTGTGGGGTTAAAAGAGGTCAGGATTTGCAGCAGATCACACACAAAAAAATATCTGAACTGGAATGCTGCTGCCATTTTTTTTTATTTTTTAATGAATAAATTTGTTATTATCTTGAAGTAGTTGTACAATGGAGGTTGAATTCAACATATCTTAGAAGTGCAATGCCTCTTGGTCAATGTACCCCCCTTCCACCATTTTTTTAAACCCCACCATTCCCTCAGTTACCTGGTTCCATTTTCACATATGCACCATTTGTCTCTTCCCTAGTCTTCATCCAGAGATACACAAAGAGGCATCCCTTCAACTCCAGGTTTTGTTAGATCAGATAATGCTTCCCTTCCAAAAACCAAGGCCTGAGTCCAGCCCCCTGCTCTGATGTTCCCACATAATTATACATCACACCATGTTATTAGTGCTTAGTAAACCTAGATCTTGAGGTGAGAATTTTGAAGATTTAATTTCTTGGAATTAATTTCCACTGGTATAATCATCTCTCTGCTTGTTTTGTCAGGGGTGACACTGTTTGTGGCTCTTTATGACTACGAAGCTCGGACGGAAGATGACCTAAGTTTTCACAAAGGAGAAAAATTCCAAATATTGAACAGCTCGTAAGTTTTGGGAGGAAAAAGGAAAGCATGCATGTCTTTCACATTGGGCAAGGGTTCTTGTGTGCAGCCTGAGCCTTGTCAGACATCTGAAATGCTAAATGAACACTTGCTAAACTCAACAGCCCCCAGCAATTCAATTTGAGAGAAAAGCTGATGATGCTTTGCACTCCTGGCTGGCACTGTGCATATGCACCAAGGGGTCTTTATTGAGGATGCAGTAGTAGCAGAATCCCTGGTTTGGGGCTTTAGTTTCAAGGTGGCAAGTTTAGTTCATGTGGCAAGTTTCAAGGATCAGCCTCACCTCCCACCTCCCCCAGCATCTTCACAAATGTGCACTTCTCAAATGATAGGCACAGGGCCTGGCTGCTCACCTTAATGTGCTCACTGCCTGGAGACTTTCTTCACATCTGATATTGCACTGGTTGAGCTGTCACTTCAGGCCAGCAACATGTTCCTTCTGTTTTCACAACCGCTAAGCATTCCAAGGGGTGATGCCTGTAGAGGTGTCTCCCTGTGAGTAAAATTCGGGAGTGACTCCGTCTTTGTGAGAGGAAAGGAGAAGTGATTTCACCCCCTCATGAATGACTACAATGCATGCATTTTAAACAGTCTCACTAGGAACAGCAATTAAACAGGGAGCCAAGAGATTTAATAGTGCCAATCACTCACTCTTCTATCTTTAATTCCTCCATAAGCAGTAGTGGCCTTCTCTTTGGACTGAGACAGAGTGCAGTGGATGAGGGCCCTCCAGAGAAGTCCCGGCTCCGCCCCCCATTTCCCCAAGAAAGGGTAGTGTTCCACATCAGTATGCAAGAATTTCAGGCGTCCTCTTGGGTGCTTCCTTGTGGTTGGGAAAGAATGTCACCTGCAGCTGAGGGACATATCAGAGGGTTCTCCCATCTACCAGTCTGGATTTCCTAGTAACGGGAGGACTGGAAGTCTGGCTCTTCAGCATTACCAGATATGAGCTAGTGCATACCATACCACATATCCCAGGAAAGGGGAAGGTCTGGCAACCCCTGGGACTTTCCCTGGGGTGCCCGTATCAGTACCTTACACTAATAACGTACCACATTCCAATAGCAAGACCTGAGAGCCCCATGCGAGGCTAGTACCTCTCTTCTAGAGGTCAGCAGACATTGTCAACATGGCCCTACTTTTATGGGGTTTTTTTTAAATTAGTATTATCGTCATTGCTAACACGTGAGGTTGGATGTTTTGTTTGTTTGTTTGTTTAGTTAATTGAAATCCGTGCAGTAAAATGCATGTAACTACTGCATGTATGGCAGTGTTTGTACAGTGGTGTGGATTTATGTACTACATTGCAGTTTCACACTTGAAAATGGTTAAAAATGATACGTTTTATGTTACATATATCTCACCATAGTATTTTTAGAGATATAGCCAGCACTTAGGTCAAGTACATTACCTGCTTCTCCCCTGCAGGAGACCTCCTGAAGCCACAAGAGGATTTTTTAAATAGTAACCAGCTGTCATTTTTGAAGGCTTCTTATGTGTCAGCCATGTGCTAACACAATTGCTCTCATTTATTCTGTCACAACAACTGTTGTGATCTTGACATCTGAGGAGCTGGAGGCCTAGGTTAGAGAACTGCCCCCCAGCACAGAGCTAGCAGGTGGCAGAGTCCAGGGGTCGGCATCTTGAATACTGTGTCAGGTGTGACTTTGGAAAGGGCCCTCTACCCCAACCAGAGGCAACTGAACCATCAAGTGACACAGTTTCGAAAATTGGCTGGGCAGTTGGGGAGGAGGGAAGTTGGCTTTGATCTCTTCTGATTTATGATTCCTTATTGTTCGTTTGATTCTTAATGAATGCTCTTGTCAGAGTCTGTCAACTTTGAATTCTGCGGATCCTCCCCCAGGTTATACAATATTCCCCAAATGGCAAGGTTGATTGTATATTGGAAACTGTGTGTAAATTCTAAAAGACAAGAACCATGAGGGGCAGGAGAAGTACCATACACAACAATTCTGGGAGTCTCCCACACTTAAAATAGATGTGTGCCTCACTTGGAGGCCACTCACAAAGTCAATCCCTGCCAAAGACATGGCTTCTTCCTGAGTTGATCTGGAAAGGATCTTCAATGTCATCAAAGTGAATTCTAGATAAACACTTAAGAGGAGGATACAGTCTATCTGTATTTTGTGATCTGCATGTATGGCCCATGATGTGAACAGGGGCCTGAAAGCCTTTGACCCTGGGCTCTTAGAAAAAAAAATTAGAAAACTGGTTGTCCCCTTAATGTTCTTCCTTTTTTCCAATGGCATTCCTCATCCTATGGGCCATTTAAATGCCCCTTTTCAAGGTCATAGGAAAAAAATAAGATTTGTGTAACAAATACAATATCCTGAAGTCAAGAGTAATAACAGGGAAGAGAAAATGGTGAAGAAAAAACAAAGCACTAACACAGAAGCAGATGCCATGTGACT